ATGTAAACACTTGATCTACACATCCCCTACCCATTCTAAAGTCCCCTTGTTCATCTGCACCCGTCGTTTAGCGCTTCTTTGATTATAATAACGTTCATCTGCAATCCTGTTCTGTCTTACCGCTTAATTTTTTCAGTAATAACCCTACCATACACTTTACCTGGTATACTCAGTAAACTTTTTCCCCTATAATTTTTACAATCCCTTTGTCCCCCTTCCCTCTTTATAAAGGAACTATACTCTTACAGCTTTTGCTCGCGTAACTTAAAAAGTCCTGGCTCCTAAAGGCTGCTCAACCTGCTGTCTAGGGGTAATAATATTTAACATTAAAAAAAATAGGGCCAGCATGTACCCTCATACAAATTATGAAGCATAAATTTAACGTCAATAATTTATTATAAGGAAAGACAAAAACTCGTCTATACAAAAATATATATTAATAGTAACGTATATACAACCTACAATCTACTCTTACTACAACTTCACCTTTACTCCAGTTTACATTAGCTCACTAGCACACTGCTACTAGTAACACGAAATATATAAAAGTTTATAACCAGGGAGGCTCCATGACACCCCACCCCCCCCACTTCCTCCTCCTGCTGGTCTATCTACCAGCAGGCAAAACATCATATCAGTACTCTCCCAAAACTTAAACAGGCTTCTGCACACTATGGCCTTACAGGTAAACATGAAAGCACTTAAACACAAAATAACCTACAGTATACACTAAAGAAATCGCCAAACCACCTACTCCACTACATCTTGCTCCCTTCGCTGTGCTTCACCAACTGAACCAAACACTCGCCACTCCTCTGGCCAGGCCACTCTGCCTGTTTACCTGGAGTTTACCTGGAGAGAGTTCCGGGGGTCAACGCCCCCGCGGCCCGGTCTGTGACCAGGCCTCCTGGTGGATCAGAGCCTGATCAACCAGGCTGTTACTGCTGGCTGCACGCAAACCAACGTACGAGCCACAGCCCGGCTGGTCAGGAACCGACTTTAGGTGCTTGTCCAGTGCCAGCTTGAAGACTGCCAGGGGTCTGTTGGTAATCCCCCTTATGTATGCTGGGAGGCAGTTGAACAGTCTCGGGCCCCTGACACTTATTGTATGGTCTCTTAACGTGCTAGTGAAAACCCCTGCTTTTCATTGGGGATGTTGCATCGTCTGCCAAGTCTTTTGCTTTCGTAGTGAGTGATTTTCGTTTGCAAGTTGGGCACTAGTCCCCTAGGATTTTCCAGGTGTATATAATCTTTGTATCTCTCCCGCCTGCATTCCAGGGAATACAGTTTTAGGAAAACCTCAAGCACTCCAGTAATTGAGGTGTTTTATCTCCGTTATGCGCGCCGTGAAGGTTCTCTGTACATTTTTCTAGGTCAGCAATTTCACCTGCCTTGAAAGGTGCTGTTAGTGTGCAGCAATATCCAGCCTAGATAGAACAAGTGACCTGAAGAGTGTCATCATGGGCTTGGCCTCCCTAGTTTTGAAGGTTCTCATTATCCATCCTGTCACTTTTCTAGCAGATGCAATTGATACAATGTTATGGTCCTTAAAGGGTGAGATCTTCCGACATGATCATTCCCCGGGCTTCGACTTGGGGTTTCGCTCTATTTTGTGGCCAGAATTTGTTTTGTACTCTGATGAAGATTTAATTTCCCCGTGTTTACCATATCTGAGTAATTGAAATTTCTCATCGTTGAACTTCATATTGTTTTCTGCAGCCCACTGAAAGATTTGGTTGATGTCCGCCTGGAGCCTTGCAGTGTCTGCAAAAGGAAGACACTGTCATGCAGATTCGGGTGTCATCTGCAAAGGAAGACCCCGGTGCTGTGGCTGACATCCTTGTCTATGTCGGATATAAGGATGAGGAACAAGATGGAAACGAGTACTGTGTCTTGTGGAACAGAGCTTTTCACCGTAGCTGCCTCGGACTTTACTCTGTTGACGACTACTCTCTTTTTTCTTTAGTGAGGAAATTATAGATCCATCGACCGACTTTTCCTGTTTTTTCCTTTAGCACGCATTTGTGCGCTATTACCCCATCGTCACACTTGTCAAAGCTTTCAAAGTTGTATATATTACACTGCTTTCTTTTTGTCTTCTAGTGCATCTAGGCCTTGTGTAGTGATCCAGTAGTTGAGACAGACGGGACGCCCTGTTCAAAACCCATGTTGCCCGGGGTTTGAAACTGATGGTTTCAGATGGGTGGTACTGCTTTTTAAACCCCCTTTCAAAGTTTTTTTATGATAGGGGATGTTAGGCTATCGGTCTGTAGTTCTTTGCTGTTTTTTAAAACCCCCCCTTTGGGAGGGGGGCTATGTTGTTGTTTTTAGAACTGTGGGACGACCCCCGTGTCCATGCCCCTCTCCTAGGATGGAAAAGGCTCGTGATGGGGTTTTTTGCATTCTTGATGAACAGGATTCCATGAGTCTGGCCCGGGACAGAGTGCATGGGAAAATGTCATTTATCGCCTGTTCAATCATTTGGCTCAGAAACATCGGATAGGCTTGTGTTAACCCCAAATTTGTGGCTCTCTCAAAAAAAATTAATTTGATTTGATTCCCAGTCGGTTTAGCGGTTTGCTAAAAATGAGTATTTGGGGACTTGAGATCACTGCCCCGGAAAAATACGTACGACCCGGAACAAAAGAACATTATTTTTTTTTTACAAATTTTAAATGCAGCACACTGCGTAATAAACACACTCCCAATCCCTAGTACTTTCCCCTCTTTCATCTTTTTTTTGAACAAAAGACCAAACCCCACCAAAACTAACCCCTTTCCCCCCCTTTTAAATTTGTCATGTCCCTCATTCCCCTCTTTTACCCCCATTCGTTCTACCCCGTGCCTCACCACCTCCACCCCCCCCCCCTTCACATCCGCTTTTTTTCACTCCTAAAAGATGCTATGCCTCCCGGCCAAAGCATAAAATTTACTGCCCTCCCTCTCTTCATCAACATTTAGCAGTTCCTCAAAATATTCCCACCATTTTCCCCATACCTTCAGCTCCCCATCTAGTAACTCTCCTATTTTGTTTTAACTAAACGAATCCATTTGTTCCCTGGGCTGCCTTAACCTATTTATTTCACTTTAAAATTTCATCTTATGTTCAGCAAAATTTGCTGATAATGCCTCACCCATTATCATTTGCTCTCCTTTTGCATGTTTTTTTTTTCAATATGCTGGCCATCTCCCACCGAGGCAGGGTGACCCAAAAAAAGAAAGACTTTCATTATCATTCAACACTTTCACCATCATTCACACATAATCACTGACTTTGCAAAAGTTTGATAATATTGTTGGAAAAATGTGATATTGGCCGCAGACTTTTAATGTAAGTGTACCTTGCGATTAAGAAAGGCTCTCTCTCTCTCTCTCTCTCTCTCTCTCCTCCTTACCTCCCCCCCTCTCTCTCCTCCTTACCTCCCCTCCCCCCTCTCTCTCCCCCTCAGTGCTTAGATGTGATTATAATAATTCTCACACAGTATATTTCCATATCAAAATATTATATTACTTCTAAATGTAATTACCCTTCCATTCTTTGTATTTATCTTGATTACGCAACTCATTCCCCCAGCGTTGTACAACCCCTACGGGTTTAGCGCTTCCCCATAAATATAATAATCATAATTCAGTTTTAGATGTTTCTTTTTGTTTTGTCTTCAAGCCGAGGATGATGATGGTGTCTCCTATGAGAGGTTCTACACTTATAATAATATAACAGAGGGATTAGTACCGAACTTGCACACGAAAATCAATCCCTATGAAAGCAAAAGACTCGGCAGACGATGCAACACCCCCCCAATGTAAAGCAGGGGTGCCACTAGCACGATAAGAGAGACAATAAGTGTCAGGGGCCCAAGACTGTTCAACTGCCTCCCAGCATACCTAAGGGGGATTACCAATAGAGCCCTGGCTGTCTTCGGGAAGGCGCTGGACAGGCACCTAAAGTCAGTGCCTGTCCAGCCGGGCTGTGGTTCGTACGTCGGGTTGCGTGCGGCCAACAGTAACAGCCTGGTTGATCTGGCCCTGATCCACCATGAGACCTGGTCACAGACTGGGCCAAGGGGGGGTTGACCCCCGAAACCCTCCAGGTATATATATAATATAAATATTATATATAATATATATAATATATATATATATATTATATATATATATATATATAAATATATATATATAGTGTGTCGTGCCGAATAGGTAAAATTTGCTATTTTGGCTTTAGCAACGCTCTTCTTGCCGAATAAGACGAGCGCAAATTTGTGTATGCAATAATTTTCGCAAAAATCATTCTGAACCTAACGAAAAAAATATATTTCAGTGTGCTTGTTTATATTATTAAATTATTGTAAACTTATTTAAAATATATTTAGTTGGATTAGGCTAAATAAATTGCGCTTGTTACAACAAGTTCTTTTGGTACAAAATTATTTATTTTTGCATTAACATACATGAAAAAATATATCTTTAAACGTACAAGAGAAACTTTAAGGACTTAATTTAAAACGAGTTCCTGCTAATGTATATATATATATATATATATATATATATAATATATATTAAATATATATATATATATATATATATATATATATAAATATATATTAATATATACACACCCGGGTTCGATTCCCGGCGGGTGGAAATTCCGACACGTTTCCTTACACCTATTGTCCTGTTCACCTAGCAGCAAATAGGTACCTGGGTGTTAGTCGACTGGTGTGGGTCGCATCCTGGGGGACAAGATTAAGGACCACAATGGAAATAAGTTAGGCAGTCCTCGATACGCACTGACTTTCTTGGGTTATCCTGGGTGGCTAACCCTCCGGGGTTAAAAATCCGAACGAAATCTTATCTTATCTTATCTTATATATATGTACATATATACAATATGTAATTTGTTTTCCATCAAAGCTAAACAGTAACATACTGACTGCGAAGCTCGTCAATATAATTATCACTGGTATAAGTCCAGGTTCTTTGTAGTGTCGACCAGACCAAAAAAACTCCTAGTGAAGTTGTCACAGATCCATTTCACTGTGATACCATAAATCTACATCAGTCTAAATTTGTATATATCACTTTAAAACTCTTCTTTTCCCATTTGTCCTTGGGTTTTCATTCTGTAACTAATTTTTCATTTAAATATACCGAACATAATTACATGTTAGGAATAGGTACTTGGTGTCGAGAAACTACACTCGGCTATTAAGTAAAACATATATAAATTTTGTAGTGCAGAATCACCAATAAAATTAGTAAACCCTTATATAAAGTATGAAAGTAGATGGGGGCTCTAGAAGCCTGAAAAAACAAATCGTCGATATTCTCTATGTACTTGACCTTGTCTGTCATTTCAATCATGGTTGAATTTGTACCTCTAGCGATCGCTTCACATTTCTGAAGGGCTAAAATAGCTTCATTTTGAAGAATATAGGTGATATTAAACGGAGTAGCTGCTGTAATAAAAACTCCACAGGCAGTAACATTGATCCGTAGTTCATGTAGCGTGTTGTTGAGGTGCTTATGTTGATTAGGGTAAGATGTACAGGAACACCTGTGGCTGGGCACAGTCAACTCCACGGTCTTGTCATCATCAAGTCTCACGTTAATTTTATCATAGTTTATCATCATGTGGTGGACCACCCCGCCCTCACACAAGGTTAAGTTACTTGTACACACATTCAGATCAAGATGTGTGTTACTAGTGGTATCTAGAGGTATTTTGAGCGTATGGTGGTAGTGACGGCTCTGTCTGGGATCTTCTGAGGGTGTAAATTCCGTAACGTGGCAGCTCACGTTCATTTGACTTTTAGAAATCTTCCAGGACAAGCCTTCGTCATTCAATAGTTTCTCGTAGAGAAGAGTTGAGGTGGAATGCATAGACTCGTCCATACAGCTACACTCACTCTCCTGCACATAACTAATGGCGTACCTGACACAGGTTGCGTTGTCCACGTAACCAAATGTCTTGTTGGTGGATCTTAAACCCTTCAGCTGGGTCGAACCTTCGCACCTCTGAAAATCCGGAGAACACAACTGTACACGCAGGATACTTTTGTTCTGAGGCAAGTGGTTGAGTAGGAACTCCTTTTCGGATTCTAAGAGACTTTTCTCTTCAGAGATGAAGGTCTTGAAGCTCTTGAAGACGTGAAGGAAAGTGGTGGCATAATTGAGTCTGGCCTGGTCAGCCAGGGAAGGCGGTGACAACACCACCACCACCATTAACACCATCACCAGCATCTGTTAAGGCAAAGATCACTTGTCAATGTTGAGCATTACGAGGTTTAATAACGCTTATCGAATCTTTTAACACAGAATAACCCAATCAAAATAATAATAATAATAATAATAATATGTATTAATATAATACTACTACTATTATAATATGTATTATAACAATCTCTGGAAGGTAGAGGTAGTGTGTGTTAGCCTCGTGAGATCTGTTGCTAACTTTTTCAATCACTGGATCTCTTATTAACAGAGGTTACATTATTTTAAGATGCATTACATACCTGGAGTTTACCTGGAAAGAGTTCCGGGGGTCAACGCCCCCGCGGCCCGGTCTGTGACCAGGCCTCCTGGTGGATCAGAGCCTGATCAACCAGGCTGTTGCTGCTGGCTGCACGCAAACCAACGTACGAGCCACAGCCCGGCTGATCAGGAACTGACTTTAGGTGCTTGTCCAGTGCCAGCTTGAAGACTGCCAGGGGTCTGTTGGTAATCCCCCTTATGTGTGCTGGGAGGCCCACATCAGTATACAGACCGAAACAAACCTTAAAAGTTTATTTAGTGTAAATCTAACTTCTTATTTTTCAATACATGTCTCCTCCCCCCCCCCAAAAAAAAAAAAAATGTGCACGGGCGCGCGTTGAAAGAAGCCTCAATCTACAGAAATTACGAGATAAATGTTCATGTTCACTGATTTATAATAATGACTAATTGCCGTTGTTATCTGGAAGTGACTCAATCAATGTACTAGGTATTAGTCCGTCCGTCGGGTTGCATGTGGCCAGCAGTAACATCCTGGTTGATCAGGTCCTGATCCACCACGGGGTCTGGTCACACACACACGGGACCAGGAGCTTGGACTCGACCCCTGCAACCCTCAACTAGGTGAGTACACACACACACACACACACACATATATATATAATATATATATATATATATATATTATATATATATATATATATATATATATATATAATATATATATATAAATATATATATATACGGTATATGTGAACTGTAGATGCGTAAATATAAAAGACGTACACATCTTTTTGTGTATTTTTGTACGAAATAAAGATGACTGATTAACTACACTTGCCTTACTCTGTGGAGTTACGTCAGGTGTACTAGATGCTAGTGTGAGAGCATGGAGCACCTGCCCACCCTACAGTGTTCCACGTCACACTACTACAGATGCTTGGTGGAGTGCTGGCAGAAGCGGACTATGCCTTAACCTTCCCGAACATCCGTCACTTCTCGGGTTGGCTCATTAACTGCTGAGGGCCAGACGCGTGTATTCACTGCTCAGCTAAGGCGCGTTCCGTTTTCGTTTCAATCTTTGTGTAGAGGTTATGACTTCAGTTTTTCGTAACATTTTCTCAGTTTTTTTTATACCCAGTCCAGTGGCCCATCGGGCATTGCCAAAATACCTGTATGGCAAGTCCGCCTCTGAGTTCCACGTCACGCTACTACAGATGCTTAGTGGAGTGCAGGAAACACGTGCCCAGTCAACAGTGTTCCACGTCACGCAACTACAGACACTTGGTGGAGAGCAGGAAACACATCCCCACTCTACAGTATTTATATTACAAATCCTTGGTGGAGTGCAAGTAATACGTGCTTACCCTACAATGCCTCGCGTAACTCTGCTTGGCGTGGTTTTATCTTATCTATTTTACCAATAGGATGAGATGCACTAAAGTAAAAATTACCAATTCAGTATTTCCTGTGTTCTTATCGTAACAGCTAACAATGAAGTCGTAAGGGATGGGATGGGCGCCGCCCCGGGTGACACCACAGAGCCTCTAAAGGTGACGACACTAATACACAAAACAGTGATGCAGCAACATAAGAGAAAAATCCTTCAAATTCAAATTCAAATTCAAAGTTTATTCTCTATAAGGATTACAATGCTGAGTTTACAGAAATTCGGTTATTGTTTGGTTTACATGTAGTAAAATTGTGATTACAGAGTGTACCACTAGAACGCTTAGCATGGCTAGGCATTTCGGGCATACTTAGTTTTATTCTTAATTGTAAAATATTACAAATTATGAGGTAAGTTGGTATTATGGCTAAGTGACTAAATACTAGTTTGTGAGTTTAGCAATATGAATGCTTTTGTTTTGGCACAGTACATAGTTTCAGTATTGGAGTATCACAGGATTCATTATTTTAAGACTGAGATTAATATTTCTGTTTATGGTCAAATGAGTGAGTGTAAGTGTGAACCACCAGGTGGTATTCGTGTAGTTAGTTGACGGGGTGTATCAGGGAGATAAGATGTTTTCTAATGGTAGTTTTGAAGGTGATGAATGTGTCTGCAGTTCTAGAGTTCTCAGGTAGGGTATTTCCAGATTTTAGGGCCTTTGACATACATTGAATTTTTGTAAAGGTTTAGTCGGACACGGGGAATGTCGTAGAGATGTTTGTGTCTGGTGTTATGCCTGTGGGTTCTGTCACAACTATCAAGAAAGCGTTTTAGGTCAAGGTTGATATTAGAGTTTAAGGCCCTGTAGATGTAGATTGCACAGTAGTAAGTGTGGATGTACTGAACTGGGAGTAAGTTTAGATCTATGAAGAGTGGGGGGGTGTGTTGCCAGGGATGGGATTTAGTGATTATTCTTACTGCAGCTTTTTGTTGGGTTATTATTGGCTTTAGGTGTGTTGCTGCAGTTGATCCCCAAGCACAAAAGCTTTGGTTGAGGTAGGGGATAAAAAAGTGATTGGTATGGTGAGAAGGGCTTTTTGGCGGCACGTATATCGAAACATTGGAGAGGATCCCCACCCTTTTTGGATTTTTTTTTTGGGGCCTATATCTGGAATGGGGGCGAAATTCGGTTTTTGTCAAGGAAAAGCCGGGGAAATTTTTCCCCCCAAATTTTTTCCCGGGTAATAAGTGTTGTCAATCTTAATGTTTAATTTTGAAATCTCCGCTCTGCTACCAAACATAATAAAGTGGGTTTCTGTCAGTGTTAACAAAAATTTATTGGCTGTCATCCAATCGAAAATTAATCACTCCCCCATTAAACAAGGTTTTTGGGGGGTGGAAAGATTAGGGGGGAGAAAGGGAATAAGCCCGGGGTCATCAGAAAAAAGAAAGGGTTTTTCCGGGTGGGGGATAACGTTTGGAAGGTCATTGATGTAAAATGAGAAGAGCCTTTTTATGATTACAGAGTACAAATAGGCCTATTTTAAGGGGGAAAAAACTTGATTTTTATGTGGGTAATGGAAAATGCCGGGTTTTAAAGCAAGGGGAAAAATAATAAACAGATTCACGAGATGTTCCGTACCCCAAATCAAATCGGATCTAGTGTTTTTCCCGATAAATGCAAATTTTTTTTTTTTTTTTTTTTTTCTCTCTTCTCTTGTTGAAATGAATAAATGTGGGGATTTTGGTGTATCAGGATATTTGAGTTTTTTTCCCTTTAATTTTAACGATTATTTACTTATTATTAAAGTTGAAAAGTTTTCCCCTATTCGGTTTTTTGGCCTTAAACTTTTCCCCTTCAAAACATTGTACGGGGGGAATTCAGTAGTGACGTAACTGGTCAGCTGTGACGTAATGTGGGCAGTATAGTAACTGTCAGGCGTAGTGACTAACGGGTCAGGCGGTGAAAAACTGGCGGGCAGTTGACAACGGCAGCGTAGTGACAACTGCGGGCAGTTGACGAAACGGGTCGGGCATGTGACAACGGGTCAGGCATATACTAACGGTCGGGCAAAGTGACAATTCAGGCAGTAGTGACAATGGTAGGCAGTATGCAACTGGTCAGGCAGTATTGACGAAACGGGTCAGGAGTAGGGAAAACGGTCGGGCATATGACAAACTGGTCAGGCAGTAGTGACAACTGGTCGGGGCAGTAGTAAAGTAACGGGTCAGCATATGACAACGGTCAGGCGTATGCAACGGTCAGGCAGTAGTGAAACTGGTCAGGCAGTGTGAGTAATGGCGGGCAGTAGTGCCAACTGGTCAGGCAGTAGTGACAAACTGGTCAGGGCATGTGACAACGGCCGTATGACGAAAATGGTCAGGCAGTAGTGACAACTGGTCGGGCAGTAGACAACGGTAAGGCGTAGTGACAACGGTCAGCATAACGTAACTGGTCGGGGCAGTGGGACAACGGGTCAGGCGAGTGACGTAACTGGTCGGGCAGTAGTGAAAACTGGTCAGGCATAGTGACGTAACTGCAGGCAGTATGCAACTGGTCGGGCAGTAGTGAAACGGGTCAGGCATAGTGACACTGTCGGGCAGTAGTCGTAAGGGTCAGGCATGTGAAAATGGCCCGGCAGTATGCGTAAAGGGTAGGCAGTAGTGAAACTGGTCGCAGAAATGAGTAACGGGGTGGGCAGAGTGAAAACGGGGTCAGGCATTTGTGACAACTGGTCGGGCAGTGGACAACGGGGTCAGCAGTAAAGGGACGTAATGGTCAGCAGTAGTGACAAGGGTCACAGTAGTGACGTAACGGGTCAGCAGTAGTGAAAACGGGCAGGCAGAGTGACGTAACGGCAGGCAGTATGCAACGGTGGGCATAGTGAAAATGGTCGGGCAGTGTGACGAAACTGGTCGGGCAGTAGTGACAACGGGTCGGGGGGCAGTAATGAAATGGTCGGGAAAGTAGTGACGAAAGGTAGGCAGTAGTGACAAGGGTCAGGCAGTAGTGACGTAACTGGGTTTTACTCCCCCATCCCCCGCCATTGGATTCCGAGGTGGCACCAAAGTGCCGCCCGGGTGACACCCCCCCCAGTAATGCCATGACAATAATTTTTTTTATAATAGCGATCTATGAAAAATTTTGCAATCCTAAAAAATTGAGGCGGGAGGATTAGTGCCCATCGAATTTTTCTTCCCAGTGCTTACCTTGTATTAGATTCCCAGGATAAAGAAGCATGTTTACTTTTTAACCCAGGTGTGTTGGGTCACTATGCGATCTAAAATTTTTTAAAAACAGGTTAATAAAACAGAGGGGGTGGATTTGGGGACCTAACTACTTGTGATCTGGTCAGAT